GCTGAGGCAGGAGAATTGCCTGAACCCAGGAGGCGGAGGTTGCGGTGAGCCGAGATCGCGCCATTGCACTCCAGCCTGGGTAACAAGAGCGAAACTCCGTCTCAAAAAAAAAGAAAAAAAAGACATAACATTAATCGTTGAAGAAAATACCTTTGGAATAGGCAATCTTGATGCCTGCAAATGGGGATATAAATTAATAAGGCATTTTTGGACAATTTGGCAATATCTGCTAATGTTTCAAAAATGCATAGGCTTTGAAACATCAATTATAAAACTTTATATAAAGCTAAATACCGCACGCGAACAAACATGTAAGTACTAACCCATCCTATGCAGCATCGTAATAAAAATTAAAACCTGAAATAATCTTTATTGCCTCCATTAATAAGACAATGTTTAAAGCAAATGACACGTCCATCATACAGAATACTGTGTGATCACTAGAAAGCCCCGGGACCTGTGTACACTGACATGAAAAGATGTGGAAAGAATGCCCAGAGCGTTAAAATTTTCTGTAGCACAATGCATACATGGTTTAGGCTATTTAGAGAAAAATAGTTATACGGATACATTTATATTTACACGTGTGTGTAACAGTGCGCACAGCCCAGAAAAATGCCAAAACATTCACTGTTGTTACTTTCGAGTGGGAAGTGGGAGAGTAGAGGTTAGGGTCATTCTCTCTCTTTTCTTTTTACAAATATTTATTGGCACATCTATCAATTCCAGACTCCGAGGATACAGCTGCGTCAACCACCCCGAGTCCACCGGCTCTGGGAACCCGGGTGACCGCTGCTGGTTCACTGTGGCGTCCCCACAACCTGCACGGCGCCGGGCACTCAGTGGGGGCTCACATGTGCGTCCAATGAACGAATTAACAGTCTCTGCACTATCGGGGGGCGGGGAGGGGTAAAGCATGATCCAGGGAATTCAAACGATAACCCGAGTAAGTCTGTTCCCCGCGAAAGGCACCCGAAAAGACTCTGCGCTCTGCAGCGGCTCCACCTGCTCGTGCTAGACCTGACTAGACCTGAAGCTCCAGGAGAGACGACCCCGAGGCCGCTCCACCCGACCCCGCGACCGCCCAAACTCCGGCCTCCTTCAGGGCTCCGAGGGGCCAGTGGCGAGGGGAGTCCAGCCGAGGAAAAGGCTGTCCGGCCGGAGGTGACGAGAAGTGGAGCGAAAGGAAAGGAAACGCTCCTGCAGCGTCTGGCCTCACCGGACCTCACACGCCCATCAAGCAGGTGCCGGCGCCTCGCGCCCCGGAGCACCTAGGAGGAACGCCCCTGCCGTCTCTGTGGCCTGGCCCGCCTGATGCCCGTCCAGCCAGGCCGCCCTCACCTCCCGGGGCGGCAGCCAGCACCGGCGCCCGCAGCAGAGGCCGCAGTCGGCTGCTCCACAGCAACACCGCCCGCAGCTCGCGCGCCATGTTATCCTCCCAGAGCGCCGCGCGCAGCTACGCGGGACGGGACGGGGCAGGGCGGGGCGGGGCCGAGCAGGGCCGAGCGGGGACGTCCTTCGGCGCAGGGAGGTGACGTCACGGCGGGCGCCGGGCTGCCCGGACCGCTGCCTGCTCGGGTGCGTGGGCGGTTATGGCGCTCACAGTCTGGCCTGCGGCGGGACCTTTGTGACCTTGGGTCGCGTTGTCAAGGGCGACGGTCCCTTCGCGCGGAGCCGGGAGAGGTGGCCTCGCTGTCCCCGGCTCACGCTGGCCGGCTGCGCCTTGCGGATCGCATCCCTGGAATGGGGCGGATGTCAGTACCCACGCGAGGGTGTGGAGGCGGCGCTGGGGAAAAAGCAGTTCATGTCTCTGCGGCGTTTACGAATCCCAACCATCCTTCTAGGCCGCTTCAAGTGTCTTACAAACCAAGACTGGCCAGAAAGCTAAAGCGCATTAGGAAGGGAATTCCAGGCTTGACTGAGGGATTACACCAAAACGTGAACTCAGTAACCACGACCACCAGGAAAACGGGTTTTTCGTTTATTCCACTTCTCTTGCCCTTGCTAAGAGTCAAACTCTATAAGTTTATTCTGAGCCAACTATGAGTGTGCAGTGGAGGGAGTCACAGTCCCAAAAGGTCCTGAGAAGTTCTGCCCAAGGTGGTTGTGTTACAGCTTGGTTTTATACGTTTTAGGGAAACATAAGACATGGGTTGGTGCCGTTTGGAAAGGCAGGACAACTCAAAGGGTAGGGTACTTAGAGGTCATAGGTGGATTCAAAAATTTTCTGATTGGCAATTGTCTCAAAGAGTTGAGTTCTGGCTGGGCGTGGTTACTCACGCCTGTAATCCTAGCACTTTAGGAGGCCGAAGTGGGCGTATTGCCTGAGCTCAGGAGTTCAAGACCAGCCTGGGCAACATGGTGAAGCCCCATCTCTACTAAAATACAAAAAACTTAGCCGGGCATGGTGGTGCGTGCCTGTAGTCCCAGCATCTGGGGAGGCTGAGGCAGAAGAATCGTTTGAACCCAGGAGGCAGAGGTTACAGTGGGTTGAGATCATGCCACTGCCCTCCAGCCTGGGTGACAGAGCTGAGACTCCATCTCAAAAAAAAAAAAAAAAAAAAAAAACGAGTTGAGTTCTAAAGACCTGGAATAAAAAAAAAAAAAAAAAGGAGTGTCTGAGTGAAGATCAGTGGTTGTGCGCACCGGCACGGTGGCTCACGCCTTTAATCCCAACACTTTGGGAGGCCAAGGTGGGCGAATTGCTTGAGCTCAGGAGTTGAAGACCAGCCTGGGCAACACAGTGAAATACCCCCCCAAAAATTAGCCGGGCGTTTTAGCATGCACCAGTAGTCCCAGCTACTCAGGAGGCTGAGGCAGAAGAATTGCTTGAACTCGGAAGGCAGGTGTTGCAGTGAGCTGAGATTGCGCCATTATACTGCAGCCTGGGCAAGAGAGGGAGACTCCGTCTCCAAAAATAAAAATAAATAAAAACAACAGGTTGTAGAGACCAAGGTTCTTATTATTTAGATGAAGTCTCATAGATGGCCACCCTTACAGGTAATAGATGGCAAATGTTTTCACAAATGTTTTTTTTTTGAGATGGAGTCTTGCTCCGTCACCAGGCTGGAGTACAGTGGGGCAATCTTGGTTCACTGCAACCTCTGCCTCTGGTTCAAGCAATTCCCCTGCCTCAGCTTCCCAAGTAGCTGGGACTACAGGCATGTACCACTATGACCCGCTAATTTTTTGTATTTTAGTAGAGATGGGGTTTCATCATGTTGGCCAGGATGGTCTCAATCTCCTGACCTCGTGATCTGCCCACCTCAGCCTCCCAAAGTGCTGGGATTAGAGGCATGAGCCACCTCACTGGGCCTCAGAAATGGTTTCTATTCAAACCCTTAAAAGTTCCTAGACCCTCAGCTAATCTTTTCAGGATCAGAAAAAGACCTGGAAAGGTGGCTAGGTGCGGTGGCTCATGCCTGTAATCCCAGCACATTAGGAGGCTGAGTTGGGTTTATCACTTAAGGTAAGGAGTTCGAGACTAGCCTGACCAACATGGCAAAACCCTGTCTCCACTAGAAATACAAAAATTAGGCCGGGCACAGTGGCTCACGCCTGTAATCCCAGCACTTTGGGAGGCCAAGTCAGGCGGATTGCCTGAGCTCAGGAGTTTGCAACCAGCCCGGGCAACACGGTGAAACCATCTCTCTACTAAAATACAAAAAAATTAGCCAGGCATGGTGGCGCACACCTATAGTCCCAGCAACTCGGGAGGCTGAGGCAGGAGAATCACTTGAACCCAGAAGGCAGAGGTTGCAGTGAGTGGGTATCGCGCCACTGCACTCCAGGCTGGGCAACAGAGCAAGAGAGAGAAGACAACTTAGGACTAGTTTGGCCTGAGAGACTAGAGAGTGAAATGACAACTCAGCCTTATGTGTCCAGAGGAATTACACAGGCCACTCACGCAGCTGAGCAAGGCCCCCTCCCTGCTGGCGTGGCTGCCTGGTGGCTCTGTCCCTGCCACCTTGCCACCTCAAGACTGCTCCTTCGCCTGGGTGCTCTGGGCCTGGATTGCAGATGATTGGTGTCCTAAGCAGTGCCTGCCACATCCCAGGGTCCCCTTGGGTGTAAAGAGGGCCCCTCAGTCCAGGTTCTCACACTGGTCCTTGGGGCATGAATGGAGGACAGAAAAAGAAAAAGGACTTCGGGCAGGTGGAAATACAGACCATCTGGTTTCTCCCCCGAGGTCTGGCCTTGAAGGTGCCAACTCCGGCAAGCACGAGGTGAAGGGGACAGTTGACTGTCATTTCTGTTAGCCCCATCACTTCTTCATAGTCAGTGCCACACTGGCCTCCACAGCCTCACCCCTGCAGCTCATGAAACGTGAAGGATGGCAGAAACGTGTTCCACCTCGCCTGGGTGGTGGGTCAGGGATGCTAGCATGTGGAGCAAAGCATGACTTGATTTCCTCTTCCCACACAGCCTGCATTTGTCACAAGTGAACCGAACAGGAAGGACATCTCCCAGCACCTCTTTGTTCCCTGGGGCAAGCAGCATGGTCAGGGAGGTCCTTCCAGGTAACTTTGGGTTTCAAGCCCACTGTGAGGGGGCTGTTGGCTGCCCCTGGTGTTTCTTAGCTTTGGCTCTGCTGAGACTCCCATCCTGTTGGAGAGGATCTGAGGCTGCCACTGACTGGGTGCCACCTCCTTTTTTTTTTGAGAAAGAGTCTCACTCTGTCACCCAGACTGGAGTACACTGGCATAGTCTCAGCTCACTGCAACCTCTGCCTCCTGGGTTCAAGTGATTCTCCCACCTCAGCCACCTGCGTAGCTGGGACTACAGGCATGTGCCACCACGACCAGCTAATTTTTGTATTTTTAGTAGAGGTAGGGTTTCACCATGTTGGCCAGGCTGGTCTCGAACTCCTGACCTCAAGTGATCTGCCCACCTCGGCCTCCCAAAGTGGTGGGATTATATGTGTGAGCCCCTGTGAGCCACTGTGCCTGGCCAAAAAGAGTCTTTTTTTTTTCTTTTTTTTTTTTTTTTGAGACAGCGTCTTGCTCTGTCACCCAGGTTGGAGTGCAGTGGCATGATCCCAGCTCACCAGTACCTCTGCTTCCTGGGTTCAAGCAATTCTCCTTCCTCTGCCTCCCACGTAGCTGGGATTACAGGCATCTGCCACCACATCAGGCTAATTTTTGTATATTTGGTAGAGATGGGATTTCACCATGTTGGCCAGGCTGGTCTTGAACTCCTGATCTCATGATCCACCCACCTTGGCCTCCCAAAGTACTGGGATTACAGGAAAGAGCCACCATGCCCAGCCAAAAAAAGTCTTTCTTGCTGCTGGTCTGGAGCCATAGGGATTCCAGATCAGAGATGATAAAGCCTGCCCATCAAGCCTGATAAAACTTAGGTCCCTCGAATGCATTGGGTGGGGATGGATCAGTGTCACCCACACTAGGAGCTTGGCACTGTGAACACTAGGGGTGCCCAGCATGAGGGCTGTCAACGTTTCTTTTTCTCCAATGCCAAAGTTAACCAGTGGGGAACCCAACACAGGTAAGCTGATCCCCAACAGGCCTTTGTAAGACCTTGGTCACCACTTACTGCCTCCACGATGCTTGAGGGCTACATATAAATTCCCCACTTTCCCGAGGCACTCTCAAAGTGAGTCCAAGGTGAATGTGTGGATAGAGGACAAGAGGCGGAGGTGTAGGACACTTTTCCAGCAAAGGGTTAAGGAGCACGGCTCAGGGCCAGCACCCCCTCTGTCCCTTGATGCTCTGTGAACTTGAGTTACTAACCACCTTCGTTTTCCTACAGGAATACATGTAAACGGTATTTGCCACATGCCATTATTTTCCCATCTCTTCACTTTGTTAACCACAGGAGGAAGGCAGAATCTGGAAAACTCAATCAAGGTTGAGGCAGAGGCCCTTGCCCCAGGCCCAGGACTCCAGGCTGGGTGGTGTTCATTTCTCAGTCCCCTCTGCCTCACAGAGGCAGCCACTCACCCTTTATAGTCTCATCTGTCCTTCGAGTCTCTTGCTAATCCCCTTGAAAATATCTGAAATACTTACAACATTTTTTTCTTTCTTTTTTTTTTGAGACAGAGACTTACTCTGTCACCCAGGGTGGAGTGCAGTGGCACGATCTTAGCTCACTGCAACCTCTGCCTCCTAGGTTCAAGCAATACTCCTGCCTCAGCCTCCCAAGTAGCTGGGATCACAGGCGCATGCCACGATGCCTGGCTAATTTTTATATTTTTAGCAGAGACAGGGTTTTGTCGTGTTGGTCCGGCTGATCTCAAACTCCTGATGTCAGGTGATATGCCTGCCTTGGCCTCCCTAAGTGCTAGAATGACACATGTGAGCCACTGTGCCCAGACTTTTTTTTTTTTCTTTTTTGGGGTAGGGGGATGGAGTCTCATTCTGTAGTGCAGGCTGGAGTGCAGTGGCACGATCTCGGCTCACTGCAACCTCTGCCTCTCATGTGCAAACGATTCTCCTGCCTCAGCCTTCAGCCTCCTGAGCGGCTGGGGTTACAGGCACGTGCCACCATGCCCTGCTAAT